AGCAGCCGTCCTGGGTGTTCTTCCACGTTTCACGTTTAGAAATCAGCAGACGACAGAGAGACACAGATGAGCACCACAGGAGTCCACGTACAGGAGCCGACCTCTTAGCTCTGCTCGTTCTTTGCTTGGGCTTCCCGCTCACAAATTTCTACCCACATCCATGCATTCCCCTCCCCCCAACATCTGGGATGCTTCTGCCACGAACTCGGTAAATATTTGGGAGCACAGAATGCTCCCCTTCCTTCCATGAAGGTGGGTCCCGCGGAAGAGCATTCCATCGCCAAGGCAAGGTTTGGCGGCCAGGCCATGCCCCAGCTCTGCCAGCCCAAGTTCCCTGCACTCTGGCACGGCCCTCCCCCAGGGACCTTACCGTGTCGACAGCTGCACACACTGCAGGGCTGAATTCTGTCTCCTGGCAGAACTGTGAAGCGATTCACGAGGCAAGGAAGAACCGGGATCCGTGTGCCCTGTGTCATTCGCACGGTTAGTCCATGCTCTTCTATAGAAACCTACCATGTGTGCATTTTATTGCTCAGTCGTAGGAATCCACGACGCTGTAGCCCACCTTTGATAAGGGCATTCCTGCTCTCAAAACTCTTCCAGGGTTTCTCGTGTGAGTCTGAGGGAAAGTGGAAGTCCTGGAGGATCCTTCAGATCCCCCGGCCTCTGTGGTCCCTGCTGTTTCCACCTGCTCCCTGCTCACTCAGCTGCTGGCCCTGGGAACTCTTGCCATTCCGTCTCAGTGGTGTATCTCTGACTGCTGTGTCAGAAACCGCCTCCCCACTCCTCCCTCCCCCGCTGTTTTTCTTTAGCTCCATCTAAAACATCGCTGACATGCCTTGCACATTATATACGACACACATGTGCTAGGCTCTTGTCACGTAGTCACTGTGCCCTTGTGATATTTGTAGACATACTTGTGTTGGCTCTATTACCCCATCTCACCCCAATAATCAATGATTTTGGCCCAGCTTGCTCATGGCTGCTTTCCCAGGCCCAGAACACTGTCCCTGGAACACTGTGGGTTCTCACTAAATCTTTGTCAAGCAAATGAATTAATAAATAAATGAAAAACCCTACCAGATAAGAAATTCTAGCTCCATTTTATGGGTGATGAAACCCAAGCTCAAAATCATTGCCTGGCAAAGTGACACGGTGGAGCCAGCCGTGGCCCTGGGCTTCTAGCGTGGCATTGGTCTCCCACCTCCTCAGAGCCCCCCCACCGGGTACCAGGGGGCCCTGGTGAGTTCTTCCCTTCCCCTCCAAGCACATCTCTCTGGGTGGAAACCTGGAAGCCAATCACACCCAGGCACAGCAGAGGGAAGTTAACCACCAATTCCTCACCCAGCGATGCCGGCACCCAAAGCTTTGCACTCAACTCAGGCTTCCACCCTGAGCCCCTGGTGATGGGGGTGCAGGGACCCCGACTCTCTCTCTCCACCCCCAGCACCCACAGCATGGCCCTGAGGCAGCCTGAGGAGCAGCAGGCTCACTCCGGAGCCAGCATTGACACAGCCCCGATGTAGGGCTCAGCGCCACGCAGTGTAGACAGCCAGCCCAGCCACCCTGCAGCGCCACTACCCACTTAACTCCTCCAACCTTAGCAAGAGGTCTAACTGTTCCTCAGTAAGCGAACTTTCCCGACTTCAGCTCGACGCCGGCTCCAGTGCTGATGTGGAGATTCTCCTTCGTGGGGCTCCCCATCCTGAGGTTCAAACGAGATCACAGATCCAGAAACAGGAGCAGAGTTTTCGGTTAAGTTCTTGGTGCTTCATTCTGACCAACCCTCGCGCACACAGATAACAGACAATGAGGAAGAACCCCCGGGGGTGATGAGCTTTTCTCGTCCACACACAAGCGTCCGTCGCCACCACAGGGTCGGTCAGGCCTGTCCGGCTCTCCAGGCAGCTTCCTCACCAGCAGTGCCAGGCGGACAGGAAATGCCAACTTCCTGTCCTCAGAAGTGCATCCGGGTTACCCAGGGAGCCACGTGGGCTGCAGAGCCTGCCCGCCACGCGCACGAGGAATCCCTCCCATGCACCTCCGGATGCCCCGAGAGAGACGTGAGTCCTTGAGGTCAAGGGCAAGGGGCATGGAGCTGCCTCTGTCCGGGGGCTGAGGTTTTCAAAGCTGCCCCCTGGGGCCCCAGTGCAGGAAACCAAGCACAGGTGTGTTAGTCCCTTCTCATCTGAGCCCACGCACACGGAGTGAAGTGGGCATCAAAGATTTTCTTGGTTTTATTTATCTTTATTTTTTAAAGATTTATTTATGTGTTAAAAGTCAGAATTACAGAGAGAAGAAGAGACAGAGAGATCTTCCATCCGCTGGTTTACTCGCTAATCGAACACAGCCGCCAGGGCTGGGCCAGGCCAAAGCCAGGAACCAGGTCTCCCACAGGGATGCAAGGGCCCAAGCACTTGGGCCATCTCCCCCTGGTTTTCCCAGGCCATGAACAGGGAGCTGGATCAGAAGTGGAACAGCTGGGGCTCGAATTGGCACCCATATGGGGTGCTGGTGTCGTGGGTAGCGGCTTTACTGGTTAAACCACAGTGGCGGCCCAATTTTCTTGGTTTAAAAAACATTTGCAGGACTAGCGCCGGGGCTCACTTGGTTAATCCTCTGCCTGCGGCACCGGCATCCCATATGGGCGCCAGGTTCTAGTCCCGGTTGCTCCTCTTCCAGGCCAGCTCTCTGCTGTGGCCCCGGAGGGCAGTGGAGGATGGCCCAAGTACTTGGGCACCTGCACCTGCACCTGCATGGGAGACCAAGAAGAAGCACCTGGCTCCTGGCTTTGGATCTGTGCAGCGCCGACTGCGTAGCGGCCATCTGGGGAGTGAACCAACAGAAGGAAGACCTTTCTCTGTCTCTCTCTCTCTCACTGTCTCCAACTCCACCTGTCAAATAAATAAAAAAAATTTGTCTACTTGGAAGGTTTTGTTTATTATTGCAAAAACCTCAATGACTTTGGCCAACTCTGTGGCCCCCAAGCATGAGGGCAGCCCCTAAAGCAATGGTGGTGAGGGCAACAGGTCCAAGATTGCACCCCAACTCCCACACTCCTTGGGCTGATGGCTCCTTTGAACACCTGCACCAGTGCCCCACTTGTGTGGCTCCATGTGTCCTGGGAGCAGAGGCAGTGGCCACAGTACTGCTGGAAGCCAGCAACGGGATGCAGATGAAAGAGAGACACGGGGAGCCCTGGAAAGACGAGGGAGCAGCTGGACCCCAGTACCCTCCACCCCGGCCCCTCTCTCACTTGCCCTGGGGGCAGGCAGAGGGTCACAGACCATGTTTGCATCAAGATCCAGGGCGGTGCCTTTGGATCTATAAAATCACCTTGGTCGCTCTTTCCACGTGGATGTGCGTGTGTGTGTGCCCTCTCCATGTGTCTGCGCACACACGTGTGTGTGTGTGTACGTGTGTGTTAGGGAGACAGGAACGAAGAGATGAGGTGATCTCAGAAATACAGATTTGCTTAAGAAGAATGTCCAAACATTATTGCAAGACCCATCCGGCCCTCTGTGTGTGGAAGACCTGACGAGAAGAACGAACAGACCAGAGGACCACAGGGATCCTTTGGGGCCCAGGGAGCCGAGGGAGCAGGAGTTGGGTGCCCTGACGGCGCAGGTGACGCCCCCTTCTCCTCTCCCGCACCTTCCCAGCCGCAGCCCATGGCGAGCAGTGTCCTTGGACACAAGGGTCGCATCTCGGGCTCCTGCAGAGAGGATGAGAGCTGGACCCGTGGCCAGCGCTGCTGAGCTGTCACAGCAAGCTCAAGGAGAGCTGCAAGCCCCTAGCAGACGAAGCCCTGGGAGCGAGGGCTCAGATCTTGTCAGCCTCCAGGTCCGTGGGGAAGGAAAAGCAGCTGGAAGGGCCAGGAGACGCCGGCGCCCAGCGGCCCCCACGTCGGGCCCCTCCTCTGACAGCTCCCAAAACGTTTCCCCGAGCCTCCGAGATCCTTATGCCAAAGTCCTGCTCCTAACTTTGACCTTGTCTGTGTTACTTCACCCCTGACTAACGCACACGGGAACCACACGGCCTCCTGTTGCCATGGAAGTCAGGGCAGCCACAGAAGACCTGCAGAGGCCCCAGCGCCGTCCGTGGCCACGGGGCGACTTCCTCCACACAGCAGAAATGGATCGGACTGAGTGGGTCTGCCCAGTTGCTGTGAGACCCGCTCCCCAGAGCACTGTCTTCGAAGACTCCGTGTCCCTCTCCAAAGCCAACGACTACCGACAAGGCCCTCCCACGGCTCCCCCAGCCCTGGTCTGGGAACGGGGTGTGGGTCTCAGTGAGCACCCTTAGCATGCTACAGAATCCACCATGCACAAAAGCATTTATTAGCGTCATTCTTCTGAAATAGCGTGTCAGCCGCTGTCACGTTACGTCTTTGTCAAGAGCGCCAACAGAGGGGTGGGGCATCAGTCACACAGTTCTGGGGACCCGAAGACCCTTCCCACCCACCAGCGACAGCCCTCTGTGTCATCATTGTGGAGACCGGAAGTGTTTGCATTTTAAGAACTCAGAAGGTAACACATTTCCAAGACAAAACAGCATCCATATCTACGTGTGTTTGGAAGGCGGGGTCAGGGAGGGGTGAGGCAAGAGTCACGTCTGCGCGCTCTGGCCAGACGAGTGTGTTCACTGATGGAGCGACAGAGCTGCAGCACGGATCCGGACTTTGGTGGATTGACCAGACGCTTAGCAAACTGACCGGCCCTGCCGGGAGCCACAGTAAAAGGACAAAACGCTCAGTGTGATGATATCACAGTGGAACAGGCAGGAAGGGAGATCCCGCGACCACGCTGACTGTGAAGACACGCACGCTTTCTGGCCACATACAGAGTTTTTTCTCACACAAGCGGACGTTTGAGACAGGTTTACGTACTTTAAAACTCAATTTACTCTGTGCCAGTTAGGAGACCCAGGACAGACTTCTAACACATTAGTCACACTCTGCATAGTTTGAGATTAATTCCCAGAGTCCTTTGCACACTTAGTCACAGCTTTGCTCTTCGAAAGGAAGTTTTTTTCATCCCTGTACCAACTCCATTGCGAAAGGATCTTTTCATAAACGCCTTCTCCAAGATGGGCTTTAGCACACCCAGTCCCTCGCTCCCGTCCGGCCTGCTTGGATAGCTGTTCAGCAGGATGAGAAAGTAATCAGGTTTTCCGGACACCTGGTGATTCAGATGGAGAGGTAGAGAGAGGAGAGATTTAGGGTTACAAGCTCACTTTACAGCCACAATTTTCAAAATCTTATGGCGACCAATCCAATACACTCGGTCTTTTTAAGGGTGGACATTTTTCTAAAACACCACGTATACTTTGTGCAGATGTAGAGCGTCACTTGGCGTGCCTAACTTCTACGGTCCTTGTGTAACTGCTGCTGTTCCTGTATCCTGCTCAGTCCATGGTTCTCTCGTTGCTGTTATTTTATAAACACTTAAAGTGGCAATGATCAGTCCTGGGAACTGTTTTTAAATTCCCCTAGAAAAATCACCTGCGATGGTCTAACGCCAGGCTTCCGTTGGAAGCACTCCCCCCACCCCCAGGCTGTCCTGGGCCATTCGCCAGGTTCCCGTGAGGAAGTCTCGCTCCCTGAGCACTGGCATCTGTGTCTTAGGACTTCGGTTCCATTGCTCACCGTGGCTTGAGGCCTGGGTGGTGGCGGCTGGTGTAGGGCTGTCTAGTGGCACAGAATCAAGCCTGGAATCCTAGGGCTCAGACTGGCTTCGGTTCAGCCCCGTATCTGCAGATGAGGACACCAAACACAAGGGCATGGGGCAGAGCCCCACGACCCAGGACTGGCAGGTGCAAACGGCTGTTCTCATCCAGGACTTGGTGAGAACTGTCCACGTCTGTACTGCTCTCTCTCCAGTGCGGTTTCAGAATGGACAGCCGCACATTTCATCCACACGACATCGGGGTTTGGCCATGATCTCTGGGCTACGACCCGCTTCCTGTGCCCCAGCCTGTCTATTCCCACACACAGCTAGATGAAGTCGGTCCTGCTAGAAGCCAGACAAACCAGGCACCTGCTCCAAGCCCGGGCTGCTGAACTCCCCTAGCACAACCAGACGAAGAAGGAGCTGACGGACTGGACTACAGTTAAAGAGACACACTACACCGGACAGCTGACGGATTGGACTACAGTTAGAGGCACACTACACCAGACAGCTGACGGATTGGACTACAGTTAGAGACACACTACACCGGACAGCTGACGGATTGGACTACAGTTAGAGACACACTACACCGGACAGCTGACGGATTGGACTACAGTTAGAGACACACTACACCGGACAGCTGACGGATTGGACTACAGTTAGAGACACACTACACCGGACAGCCTTGGTACTCCCCACCCCCCAGGGAGCAAGCGTGACCTTGGAGTGTGTTTGGGAGGTGAGATGGAGCAGGAGTGCACAGAACACTCCCTGGAGCTCTTCTCTCAGAACAGGCTGGGGCCGCCGGAGCTCCCCCGGCAAACACTGACACTGCGGGAGATGTTGGGCTTTTCTTTTTTTCCTGATCTGGGAATATTCAAAGAGAGTTTCAGAAATATTGGTCATGGGAAAACCAATCAGAAACTTCCAGCTGAACACCCACTGTGTGTTGTGGCTGTGTTAACAAAGGAGCTCTAACCATGCTAGATGCAATGCTGTCTCTTTTAAATTTAAACCCGGCAGGAAGGGCCCGTGAGTCAGTGCAGGAAAGGAAGCAATCTGGTTCTTTCCAGAAATACGCACGATGCCTCCAGACTGCAGAAGACGCCCAAGACATCCCTAGACATCCTTAAAAAGATACTGACCAGGCAGACTCGTTAGCAGAGTAATACCACGTGCCTGCCTGGTTGATGGACTTCAAGGAGTTCACAGTAAATACCACAGAAGCCTACACACCGCGTGCCCGCAAGACCATTCACCCCAAACGTCAAATCGGCGTGGATACCATGCACACGGTTACTACATGACGGGATTATAATGAGGACGAAATTGTCATTGCAGAAATAGAGATACAGAAGATGCAGCGAAAGGAGAAACATTTCATTTACAGGCAAGAAAATCTCAGATGTATTTCAGGAGAAAACACGTTCTTAATGTTTTTAAAAGGCTCTAGACAAGTGGCTCTTGTTTAGCGAGATGTTGTGAGCAAACCTTTGGGGAAAGAATAGAAAGTAATTAGGAAGACACTTGAGAAAATGCATCAATTTATGGATGTGACTCATCAGCTTGATCAATGTGCCGTCTTAGGGGATCAATGACTAAATTAGTGTTGAATGCTTATAGGAATAAAACAGGAAGAACAGAAGCTATATTAGGGAAGCAAGAAATAGAAAAATGACAGATGCCCAGGTTAGAGAGAGGACCCGTCACATAAAAGACCACATCATTGTGTAGACATCGTTTGTTACGTAGAACGTGCGCGAGGTCTCTATCCTACAAGTAGTTTCACAAATTACTCTCAGTAAACGCAGTGTGCCAGGTTAAGTTTCTGTGAAGAGAAGTTGAAGTTCAAAATGTCATCAGTGACAAAATATTTTATAAAATTTTACGTGAAATATTGACACAAACAGCTGAAATTTCATGAAGAAATAGCATGAAGCATTCCACAGACTGACATTCACTTTCCAAATATCTTGAAGAGTTCAATGTGCATAGTTAGGCACTTAATCAACATTCTGCAATAAATATATTAATTCATATTTATGTGATATGCCATTGACATCTAAGATTTTGTCTATATTCTGAATCTGAAAAAGTTCCTATTTTTGTAAAATCAAAGACTCACTATTTTTGAAAATTTTTGTATTTTAATGTCTTCTGCAGTCTGGAGGCCTCGTGAGCATTTCTGAGTCTCAATGGTTGAAAGTTCACTTCTGCTGTTATGAGTACACACATGTGGAATCAACAAATTGTCATGGGCCTGAAAATCAACATTTTACATGAAAATCAATATTTGTGTGTGCAAGGACCAGCCCCCTATGTAATTCACAGCTAAGTAGTATTCATCGTCCCACAAATGCTTCCTCTTGCTAATTCTTTGAGTCTGCTTACCTTTAGTTGACAGCCCTAAAAATAAAGGAAATTGCTTTCTGTCGCATATCCCTTGAGGTTATTTTGTACGGAGCCATACTGCAGTTCCAGCATCGAATCTAGCACCAAACGGGCAGGAAAGCCCTTACCTTAGACGGCGGAACTGGATAACCCCAAGCCCCGTGCATCGCGGACAGCAGCAGAAGTAGGATAAGATTGAGCTTCATGGAGCTGCAGAGAAGGAAAAAAAAACAATTTAGATTTAGCTTCACAGAGGCAAGTGTAAGGAAAAAGCATATAAAATTTCAACATATTTCGCTGCAGAAAATACATCTTTTACCTAATCATTTTGTGTTTCCCCGAGTCTGTGCAGACAGGTGGCTTTATTGCCAGATCCCTCACACTTACTGTCAGCACCGCCTTGGGTGGCCCTTTTATACCAGGAAAGTTCAGGAGTAAAAATGTCATCACGTCCCATCATACGTGACTAATTGGTCTGGCTGTGGCCTTTTGTTCTCGTTAAGTAGGAAAAGGACAATCACACACAGGCATTGTCACCGAGCTGCCAGCAGTTGACTCCACTGAAAGTTTGCCGTTAAGGGCATCCTTCAAACGCTGTGTCTTCTAGCCTGCCTCATGGTGACATACATGGCCAGGGGTCTCAAAGGGAACCGAAAGTTTTTACAGAGTTTAAAGATTCAAGAAGGATGACATTATCGCCATGACTCTCCCGGGCGTCGTGCTTCAGAGACGCACACGGGAGAAATCCTTAAAGGCTATGCATTCGCCTGAGCCAGGCATGCAGATTATCCAGGTTTTCTGGTTTGCTGCCATTAGGGGTCCCGCAGTCAACGCAGGGGGATACATGCCGCCCCCTCTCCACTCACTCGTCATCCTAATGGAGGGAGGGCACAGGGTCTCCCCTTCCCACCTGCACTCCCCAAGTCCCAGGCCCCGAGTTCTGGGAGCACCTGTGTTCTTGGCCTGCTTCCTCTCGTTAGGGTGTGGGATTCCTCTGGGAAGGCTTTGCTGTCCTTGCACTCCATGGCATTTGAGTTAATAAATTGATTCAGGAACACTAAGTGCGAACAGATGTTGCTGCAAGACAGTTTCTGCTTAGATAACCAGTGCTCCTGAGGGGCTGCCAACGTTGTCTGAACACAGAGCAAGCGAGGAAAATCCTCGCGCGTCACCATCAGAACCTGGGGAGGAAAAGAACGGCTCTGCATCTGGGATGTTTGCAGCCACACTGTCTGAGCCCCGTACAACCGTCAATCACGCAGCCACAGAGTCCCCTCCAGGAGGAAAATCACAGGGTCGGCACCAGGTCGGGTGCGATCAAGCACCGTCAGCCAGAGTGGAAAAGATTTTGAGAGCAGCACGGGCATGAACCATGTTTGCTGTTGGCCTCTCCTCAAATCACATAAAACACGCACAGCTAAAGCAAGAAAGGGGAAGACGATGGCAGCAACACTGTTTGGTTAAGGGACGACCCATTGGCTAGGGAGTCTGAGACAGGCGCTTACCAAAGACCCTCATCGGGCTCAGATGATCGCAGATCCAGGGACTCCGGCATGTGGGAAAGATCAGCTGGAAGTTTGTTTCGCACTCATTTCTGGGCCACGTTCCCCTGCCCACTTGCACGCCTGGACCATGCAGCAGACTAGAGGTTTATTCTAAGGAGCCAGGAGAACAGAGACTCAACTGATGGACGTCATCAGGCTTGGTGGAGGGAGTGGGGACCCCTCTAGGAGCAAGGGTGGAACGCGAGTCAGACTCAGTGCTGAAACCGTGGGTTTCTTCCTCAACACGGCCATCAGCCAGGTCTCCGCCCTCAAAGCAAGTGAGTGGAAGAGGAGGAGTCGGAGGAATCTGCCCAGCGTAGGGGGCAACACCCAGACAAACCCAGCTCAGGGATTCTCAACAGAACATCCCTGCCAGCTGCCAGTCGCCAAGGTCGTCAGCTGACGGTTCCCAGTGGCACACCACGTCCCTCCGTGGACGGGCGGGCCCACTCTGAAATGCGAACAGACAGAAGCAATGGGAGAGACGTCTACAGCAACAGTCGTTCCCATGAAAACAGAGGCCAGGGCAGCAGTTGTGGCACAGGGGTTAAGCTGGTGCCTGGGTCACCTGCACCGCTCCTGGGTGCTGGGTGCTGGGTGCTGGGTCTAGTCCTGACCGATCCACTTCAGCTTCAGCTTCCTGCTTTGTGCACCTGGAGGCAGCAGGCGGTCACTTAAGTACCTGAGTCCCTGCCATCCGTGCTGAGGCCCGGATGGTCCCTGGTCCCTGGCTCCAACACGATCCATCCCGGGCTGTTGCAGCCATCTGGGGAGTGAACCCGTGGATGGAAGACCTCCCTCACCTTCTACCACCCCTTCACTGTAGCTCTGCCTTTCAGATAAACAAATAAATCTGTTTTAAAAATTTCTAGACCATCCCTATGACATAAGAGTATAACTTTCCAGATAGAAAGAGCCATTAACTGTGCAGCAGAGTGGATAAAGTGTGATTTGTACTGAGATACAGCAACCCGGATCTTACTATCTTCCAGATGTCATACAGGGACTCAGAATCAGAAAAATAATCTGAGAATTCAGAAGACAATGAAAAATGCTCTCAAAGTTGTTTGGAAAATATTTCCTATCTAGAATTTATTTCCAACAATTCAGGAGTAAGCAGACCTTCTTCCTTTCCTGTAAGTGTAAGATTTTTTACATTTTCAGACATATCTCAAAACAGTACTTTCCAAGAGCCTTTTCTCAGAAAGCTACTTAAGGAGGTGCTCCACCAACGTGAGTGTGTAAACCTGTGAAGAGTGACATGTGAGATCTGCCTCCTGAGGGATGAGCGCAGGTGACAAAGGAGAGAACTCCCAGAATGAGAGCCGAGAGGTCTGCAGCCGGACGCAGCAGGGGCAAAGCCACAGAAGCCTGAACAGAGGGACTGAATCGATGACAAATCCATAGAAGACTAAGCAGAGGAGAACGAGGGCTACATATTCACTCCAATGACACTGATAGAAGTGAAAGACAAGTGATCACAAGGCCTGACTCCACTGGGAGTAGCATTGACATAGTTAGAACAAAAACCACTGCCTAATGGCCTGAACCAGAAATGAGACTGTACCGGGCGCTGCACTGTTCTGGGTAAGGTGTGCTTCTGTGTGAGGTGAGTTGCCCAACTCCTGTAGACGAGTTCAACAGATAATGTTGAAAAATGCAAAAGTCAAAACACAGTGTTTAGAGATAATACAAAGATGATCAGCTTAGTAAGTTGAAAGTGGTGACTCTGAGGGAGGAAATTAAACAGGCAGCAGAGACCACTGCTTGCATTAAAGCTCTTCTTAGAACGAGTTGATTCTTTATAGAGTGCACCACTACTGTAATAAAATTAAGACTCTAAAAATTTGTGTTGTGGGTGAGGTATGTCTGCAGACGACAGGCAGCACGTTTAGTACTGCAGAGAGCTGGCCTGATACAGAGGCCCCAGTGGAAGTCAGAGTCTAGAGGTGGAGAGTGAGGGGGAGGGGCGGAGGGAGGGAGAGATGGAGACAGAGAAATAGAGAGAAAGACAGAGACAGAGAAATGGAGAGAGACAAAGGCAGACAGAGGAGATAGAGACAGAAGGAGAGAGACAGAGAGATGGAAAGACAGAGGTGGAGAGAGACAGAGAGGCAGAGAGAGATGGAGAGAGAGACAGAGTGATAGAGACAGAGATGGAGAGAAACAGATGGAGAGAGAGACAGAGAGGTAAAAAATAGAGATGGAAAAACAGAGAGAGACAGAGATGGAGAGAGACACAAAGAGATGAAGAGACAGAGATGGAGAGACAAAGGGAGACTGAGAAAGAGAGACAGATGGAGAGAGAGACAGAGATGGAGAGAGACACAAAGAGATGAAGAGACAGAGATGGAGAGACAAAGGGAGAGATGAAGAGACAGAGATGGAGAGACAAAGGGAGACTGAGAAAGAGATACAGATGGAGAGAGAGACAGAGAGGGAGAGAGAGACAGAGTGATGGAGAGAGAGACAGCCCCAGTAGTTGCAGCCATTTGGAGAGTGAACCAGTGGATGGAAGATCTCTGCCTTCCCTGCACCCCCGTCTCCCCCTCCCCAGTCTTGAAGTGCACAGAAGGTTGCAGAGTTAGGAGCCTGGAAAGAACTGGTCCCCATCCAGGCTCACGAGGCTTTGCCTGGTCCTGGGTTGTCCTCTGGCGACTCATGTCCAGGGCAGTCATCTGTGGTGCCGTCAGACCAGGTGGCCATGTAAGGTTCGCACCAGCCCAGCTGTAACGTCATCGGCCTTCTCATCCAAAGTCTCCCCTCATTCGTCATCGTGTCTCCCTCTTAGGGTCACCCACTCTCTGTCCCCATATCTGGCCCTGACATCAGTGTGAAAGTAAGAGAGCAGTGGTCCGTCCTACAGCACGCGGGGACGCGTTCTGAGTCACCCTCAGAAGTTCAAGGACGCCAGGAGAGGCACACCGTGGGCTGCAAAGATCAGAGGAGGCCTCGTCTGATTCCCAGCCCCTCCCACAAGGCCCTTACTGCTCCAGGCTTAGCAGCTGCCAAAGCCAGGACTTAGAGAGACGTTAAAATGATTTTAAGGAAACAAATGCCAAGCTGGAAGAGCTTAGAAGTTCAGTGTAATTTAGGGTTTCGATGTCTTTCAAAAAAAAATTCTACAATTGATTCCATTGGCCCTAATTATAATACCCATTAAGCCCCATGTCTTTCTGGATGTATGGAAAAATCAATTTAATTTTTACTGCTTCTTAATTTATACAACCGTTACATCCTCTGAAAGTATAATTAAAATGCAGAACGCGTCCAAGAGCGTTTTCTGGTTTTATACTAGAGTGGGAGAAATAAAGGCTTGTGCAGAGCTTCGGCTAATTTATTGAAATAAATTATCGCTCCAAGTCATGGCTGCTCCTAAAATGCTTTGTTGGAGCTCTGCAGACGCGTCCTGAAGGGGCCCGGCACGCACGACCGTCGTCCTGTGGAAGCGAAAGGCAAGGGCAGCCCAGGGGGTGGCACTCTCGTGGCTGAAAGCAGGCGGCTGGCCGCCCTCTAGCCTGTCCCATCACTCCTGGCATCGGACTGCTGCACCTTGGCTGTTGGGATCCGCGCGGGGCAGTGCAGGACATTTAGACCTGCCCTGGGCTCTACCCACGAGCTTCCAGTGCCACCACCTCACCAGTTGTCTCAACAGAAAGTGTCTCTGGGCAGTGCCCAGGGTCCCCCTGAGAAGAGGCAGCAAAAGCGTAACCACCATTCCAGAGAGAAGGAAGCTCCATGCGCCGACTCCCGTGCAAGAAGTGAGCAATCGTGGCGTCACGG